TCTCTCTCTCCTCTCTCTCTCTCTCTCTCTCTCTCTCTCTTCCCCTCAGAGGGGTCTTATTGATGAGCTGCCTCAAAAACCACCGCCCAAAATGTCCCAGAAGGGTTTAGACAATCCATCACCCACCACTTCAAGAATGCTTCCTCCCTTTCAAACACAATCCTCGCACACCAGACGGGCTGCGGTGGGGAGGGGCGCGCACTTGAAAAGAGAACAGCTATATAATCAACGTCAAAGCCATCCCGCAACCTTTCGGAAACAGGGACTCGGGCCAAAAATCCCTCCAAATGATTTACGCAGCTCCCCTCGCCCTCTCCCCCACTCCCCTGCTTAGACTCTCCCGGTGCCTGCATCACGCAGCCGGCAAGGCCATGCACGTCCCCCGCCTTTGTTTGCATCTAGGAGAAAGCACTTGTCATCTTGGGGTTCCAGGGAGGAGGAGAGTCTCGGCTTGGCCGACATGCTTTTGGGGCCTTAGTCATGGTGTCTTTATTGGTGGAGAGCGGCGAGCTGCGAGGGCCGGGCCTGTGTTTTTGCGGTTGTCAAATGGGCATTACCTCCCTTCCCTACGAGAATCCTCCCATTCTTCTGTGTAGCCGCTGTGCCTCCCTTTTCCCTTAGGCACCTCCCGGTAGAGGCTAGAGTTCTTCTCGCTTCCGCTGGGTGGCGCCAGGCTCTCGGGAATCGCGCTCGGCGAGGCTGACTCTGGTGCACCCCCTCCACTCCCCTTCACCTGCCTAAGGCTCTCCGCGCGCCCGGCCCAGGTCTGGCCTCGAGCCGGTCAGTGTTTGGTCCTCAGGTGAACAGATTCCTTTAAATATTGCTTACCTTGTACTCGGTTGACCACCTTAGGACATATTCTGCTTTTTCTAAGCCTCCACCCGGTTAAAATAAAGAAGTAGAAAATTAGCCACATACTTGTACGCAGCTATTGAAATGAGCTCTATCCATTGCACACAAGCGTAGAAATGTTTGAATTTCTTCAAACTTGCAGAAGAAATTCAGGATTCAGTTCAGTTATTTTGGTTCCTGGAGCTGTCCTGAGATCTAGTAGAAAACAGACCAGAGCCTCGGGAGAAGCCAGCTCCGCCGCTTCCGGAGAGAGGAACTGGGGAAAGCATTTCCCTTCTGGACCTCAGGGGTCTCATCGTGAAGTGGCTCCAAAACTACTCTTGCCTTCTGGGTCTACAGTGACCGGAAGACAACTTCTTGCCCCCTAATCTTGTCCTTTTTAAAGTCTGCAAGATAAAAAGGAATGTTGGGGGCTCTTTTGGGACCTGGTGGATACAACGTGGGGAGGGATGGCAGGCCAGGTAGAGGTAGGCTTGGCAATCAAGAAAGCCAGCGGCTCTAGATTTGAAACTTCAGACCAAGACTTACCCACTGGCCAGATCATCCTCTGCAACAGAAGCAACTGGATTTTATCTTTCAGAAAACAAGAAGGCATTCTTCATAGTAACTGACTTTTATGGAAAAAAAAAAAACCAGCTTCTAAAAATTAACTTTATTGAGGTATACTTTACATATAATAAAACACACCCATTTTAAGTGAAGATGTTGAGTTTTTATTTTTAAAAATATGTATTATGAAAAAATTTCTTACTACACATAAGTGGACAGGGTATACAATTAGTCCTCCCTCATATACCCATCACCTAGATTTAACAATTATCAAGGATATGCCATACTTGCTTCATTTATCTCTTTTCTATTTTCATTTCTTGCTGAAATATTTTAGGGCAAATTCAGACATCATGTTCTACACGTAGACCTTATTACTTTTCCCCATGCCCTCCAGTTCTAGCTCTCCATACCTAAAATTACATTTGGCACAGACAAGCACATTTCCTTGGGGAAGTTTGAAATTGTTCTGGATGTGTGTTTTACAAACAGAACTGTCCATCCTGCTGCTTCCTCCCCCCAAGTGACTTCCAGCCCTGGTTCTTGGCTTTTTCCAGGCTTTGTCCTTTCCGCATCCTCACCAGGGCTAAGGCTGTGAAAAGGGGTGCTCCTCTGTTCAGCCCCCAGAGTTGATGCCACACCGCCTCCATACTTTCATACCAGATCATACATATGACATTAATTTTATTGCAAGATTACACGTTCCTTTGCGTAGATCTATACATGTGCATATTTGTGTATGTATATTTGTCCATGTGGACCATAGAGTAGTTCCAAATTGTTTTTGCAGTGGGCAGCCAGGAAAGACTTTTTGTGTTGTTTCTAAATGCCTGTAGGAGGATGTTGGACTAGGCTGGAAAAGTGAAGGTATCTAGGAGGAGGGGGGTGGAACACGAGGCACTAGTTGACCCACACCCTCAACCACCAGTCCACACTATGCCTCTGTGCAAATATTTTACTGAGTTGTCTGATTTTTCTGCACCACCACGCAATACATGTTACCGTAGTTCTTAGCATTTCCCTCTTTTTCAATGCAACCCTGATCAGATGAATAGCTATGTGGTGGTCATAGATAGCCCTAGATTTTGTTTGACAATGCACCTGTTTCCTGTAAGGGCGGGTAAGTCTCTGAGCTTCAGCATCTAAATTTTTTTGGTAAATTGTAAATTATAAAAACAGTAACAGGCCCTCTCCCACAGTGACTATAAAGGTGAAATAAAAATTGTAAAAAGTGCCTGGCCCGCGTGGCTTAGTGGTTGACCATAGATCTATGATTCAGAAGGTCACCTTTCCTTCAGGTCAGGGCGGGGCTTGCAGGCTCTATCTCCAGTGTGGGGCATGCAGGAGGCAGCCATCAGATTCTCTCTCATCATTGATGTTTCTATCTCTCTCCCTGTCTGTAATCAATAAAAATATATGTAAAAAATTGCAAAACGCATTAACATATATTGACATATACATTGATATTATTGTTTTTTGCCCAAAGGAACAAAAACGCTATTTGTTTTAAGGTACTCTAAGTTTCACCGTACATGGGATCTTTCCTCCCCACAGAACTCTCTCATATGCATTTTGTTTTTTGTCCTTAATAACGAAAAGATGTGTCCATTGTCTGTAAGTTTAAGCCTACCTCTGCTGGGCATGGGTCTCTCCGGGGGTCTCTCCGGGTGTGGGCGGGGCCGCGGGGCACAACCAAAACGCATGAGTTCTCGCGGGGCGCCGCCGCGGGGAAGAGGGCAATGTTTCCTTTGGTGTGGTTCACGCAGCCGTAGGCGGGATCTGACTGTTTCGCATCATCCGGGCCTGGGCGCTCGCCCTCAGATCGCGATGGGCACCGCGACCAAGGCGGGGTGTGTGTGTGTGTGTGTGTGTGTGTGTGTGTGTGTAGAGCGTCATTTGTCCTGAGCAAAGTGTGCCTCGGGGAAACACCTGCGGAATAATGCCAGGCACAGGCGAGGGCTGTGTGGGATCTGGGCTCGCTCACTGGGGGTCGAGCCACAGACCGCTGATCTGCACTTGAGGAGTTTCTCTGCCCTGAGATATCTCCAGGAAAGCATGAAAGCGCAGCAAGAAACACTTGCCCGCATGCTGCTGCACGAGTTGCAAGGGCGCCTGGTGGGCTGCTCGCGGATTTGAGCCGAAAGCAAAGCAGCGGGCGGAATTTGTTTCAGGCGGAAATTTCCTCCTTTCCGCCCCATTTCCCGTTTGCAACAAACGCAGGCTCTGGAGCGCCCTGTGGGAGGCTACAAGGCAGGCAAAGATCCTTCACCATCCACCCGAACCACAGCGCCCGGGAGCCCTGGGCGGCGGGCGTGGGTCCCTCAGCCTCCTGTTTGGCGGGAAACAAAGGGCCACGGCCGGCACCCCCCACCTAACCCCATGAGTTTCGGGCAACTCTAATTCTGAAATATAATCTGCGATTTGAAATACTAAAGTCATAAATGCTTTTTGCCCATTTAATTTTTTTTTCTGTGTACCTCCCCGCCCCAATACACCCTGCACTTCTAGTTACAAGACCTTGAACAAGTTATTTTTCGGGATTTCAATTTCGTCATTTTATAATTGGGCTCATACTAGCTGCTTCATAAAGTTGCTAGGAGGATTAAACGAATTAATTAATCCACATCAAGAGTGTAGAATAGCAAGCAGCATGTGAGGGGGGTTGCTCAACAAACATCAGCCATGAAATTGACCACGAAGATCCCTCTGACTTCGGACCTCCTTTCCCCGAGGGGTGACTTCCAGTTGTGGTCCGAAGGGCCAAGGGCTAACGGGGCCAGCCACAACCAAACTCCTGGGCTTGGTTTCAGTTTTAATATTCGATTAAGAATTAAGAGTTATAAACGGAGCTAAGAGAAAGTACGAAAAGTCCCGGGCAGGACCCCTGGCTTAAGGCTCAAGCCGTGCCGGGAAGCAGGTGCGTGCGTCCCTGAGCGGGAGGCGGCTGGCGCTTCTGGGCATTGAGGCCCGCCAGCTCTCTAAGAAGGGGTCTGGTGACCCGCATCCAACTTGATTTAGCGCAACGTGCGGTGCTTTGGCTGCATCGTCCCAACGGCTCGATGCGGGCCAAATTGTTTGGGGTGATGGGTGCTATGGGCAGCGGTGCGCTACCGCTCCCTCAGAGTGGAAGGGTGTCCTGGTCGGGTAGGAGTGTAATGGAAACGAGGCTCAGAGGGCGACAACTTTAGAAGCTGGGGGTGGAAAGCAGGGAGAATATATTCCTTTTAGTGCCTTCGGACTCTCCCCTGTCTGATCTTGGTCAGGGTCCTCCCTGGCTAAGGCCTGTCATGGAACACTGCTTGGAAAGGCAGACAATAAATGCCGCTCTGCCTCTTGGGATTAGCGCGGCCTTGGACTCGGGAAGAGGTGTGGGGTCCAGTAAGGGGCAGGCTGGACTCCGAAGGCAAAATCAGCCCCGTGGTGGCCGCAGGGCAGGGCGCAAGGCGCAAAACCTCAGGTGGAGCCGAGGCTCCGGGCAGGGGAACTCGGACGGCGTTCTGGAGGGGGTCCGGACGCGGCTGCTCCGTTGGGCCAGGAGGGGCAGAGTGAGAGGGAAGTGACCTCTTGAACCTCTTCAAATGCAAATCCTATAAGAAGTTTTTTAAGGAAAGAAAAGCGGAAGGACAGGGAAAATGGAGAAACAACCGAGTCCACCTGAGGCTTGAATGGCCTTTTAAGAATTCTAGGCCCCTGGGGTTTGCCGACTTCCCTACAGTAGACCAACAATTGGTAATGAATTTTGGATTTTCCCTCAGGAGCATGAAGCTACCAGCTGACTTCCTCCAATATGCATATTTTACATATATAAACACCTTCATAGTTTAATAGCCACTTAAATAAATCATTCTCATAAACTCTTACTCCTAAAACGATCTGGCACAAAACAGCTTTTCTTTATCGGATCTTTTTCTTCCTTCTTTTCATTACTGGCTTTTGCAGCTAAAATTTCATCTCCAGATTGGTGGCCAGTTTTTCTATATGTAACTTTGCTGTCTGTTCTATTGTAACGTCCCACATCACTTTCCCTGTCAAGGACAGATTTAGAATATTATTTTTCCTATTATGAGAGAGCTAATGTATATTTTGGGAAAAAGCAAATGTTCCTTTTGTTTGTTACTTGTTGGTTATTAACTAGCAAATGAGACTGTTCCACTGCAGGTATCCTAATGAGACACTCAGCTATGATTAGTTCTCAGCTTTAAAAAAGACCGAGTTATTTCCATTTGTCAACTTTTCATTCAGCAAAAGAGAGGCTCTTAAAGTTTTCTTCTCCCAGTGAAAGGAAATTTTGTTTGGGGACATGAAAATAAAAACTAAACCTCTAGAACTCAAGTTTTGGGACAAAATTGGTGTGTTAAGTTAAACAGGCCAATTGGGCAGGCCTGATTTGGGGGTGGTGGTTGGGGAGGAGGGGAGTATGTAGGTCATTTGGACAGTTATGCTCATCTGAATAAGGGACTAGGATGCATTTGTGGGTCTGGACAAGTGTCAGAGAGGGGCAAGGTAATGAAGGTAGGGAGTGATAGATTCTCTTTTGGTGAGAGCCTCCTTAATAAAAGACTGATTAACAGTGTTTGATGACAGGCCCTTAAACCTGAAAAGCAGGTTTAAGCATCACCCATTTTGGTCTGCTGCTTCATGTAGGTAGAGGGTGGGTGTTGGCATCAGGCTGAGGGGACCTGCCCTTCTGAGCTCAGCAAAAGCCAAATTTAATAAACTTATTTCTGTTTTGTGGTTTCTGCCTATGGAAAACTTCTGCAGTTGGAGTGCTCTCAGAAAAGATCTGAGCCTGAAGAACTTTCCATCTGTAAATCAGTTACAAAACACAATGAAGTGGAATTATAGTGTGTTTTATGGACATAGGGTTTTAACCAAAAGGAAAAGAATGTGGATGCATATAGCAGGTAAGTGTGACCACAGAAGAAATTTCTAACATTAGCATGTATAAATTCATAGTGATGTGAAAATAATAAATAATTTGAGTGTCTTGAATTTATTATAATATATAATAAGTTCATTATATGGCTTTCTAACTAGGAAATTGTTTCGAGGCCAAGATTTGATTGATGTCTGGACTTTGGATGTGCCTACAAAGTGAAGATCAGAGTTGGGCAGTGTAGGTAACACCCCTTAAAAATATTTTTCCTGGCCTGCATTACTTGTACTTTTTCTTCTAGTTTTCACTTGCTTTTCTGATATAATGACAGTGCAATTTACCTTCATACCTTGAGTTAAATGTGGAATTTCAATTGGTGGGAATAGAATAAACAATGTTACTCAAATAATGCAGATATTTCATTTGCATAATTAAAGTTACCTTTACCTAAAATGCTTCTTAAAGCTTTAAATATTACTTTAAGAAAAGGAATTAACTCTGAAAATTTAAATAATTTTAAAAATTCTAAACTTCACTTTTATTTTTGTGTGATAGCTTGCTTGCATTGCATTTACTTGCAATGATTCACTTTGTCTTTTTGAGGGGACATGAACAATTTTGCAAATGTCTATTAACCTATTAATCATTTAAAGAGGGAGACGTAAACACATCCTCACTTTTTAAACTAGGCTAATGGAGTCATTGGAAGATTAACAGTAAACCCTGAGGTCAATACAGTTTGACACTTCCATTAATAACTCAGAGTTTCAAAAGAAAGTAGTGTGTTGGAGAATAGGATAAAAATGCATTAAAAATCTTGCTAGAGCCCTAACCGGTTTGGCTCAGTGGATAGAGTGTCGGCCTGCAGACTGAAAGGTCCCAGGTTCGATTCTGGTCAAGGGCATGTACCTTGGTTGCGGGCACATCCCCAGTGGGAGGTGTGCAGGAGGCAGCTGATCGATGTTTCTCTCCCATCGATGTTTCTAACTCTCTATCCCTCTCTCTTCCTCTCTGTAAAAACTCAGTAAAATATATTTAAAAAAAAACTTGCTAGAGAACTTTCTAGATATATGTTTTTTGGTTTCTATTTTAGTTTGCCTAGCATCTTTTCCTTCCTGCTACTGATGACAGCATCTCTGTATCCTTAAGGAGAGCTCCCTTCTTCTCTCTCAGTGTCATCCTGGTCCCATCACATTGCAATGACACTGTCAGATGTGGGGTCATATGACCTATGCCTGTCTGTATTACCCATCCTTTGGCCACTTGGTTGGCCGAGTGTAGACAGGGGGTCAACCTTGGTCACTTAGAGTCCTTCCCTGGGGTTATTAGTACTAAAGATAAGAGAGAGGCTCAACCTTTCCCTCCCTAGATCACGAATCGGAAGGATGTGTCCTTGGAATTTTCTGTGACCATCTTGTCACTTTCCTGGCTCCTTGGCAGAGCCCATTTATAATAGAAAATAACCAACCCAGGAAGGAAGCAGAGGAGACTGAGAGAGTGTGGGCTGACAACACTGTTGGAGATGAGGGGCTGGCCAGGCCCTGGAGTTCTCATTTAATCAGCCAGTTCCATTATTTCACACATCATTTTTGAGTGCTACTCTGTGCTAGACACTATTCTAGGTGTGGGGGAAACATTCAGGGGAAGGTAGTCAAAGTCTCCACTTTCAAAGCTTAAATTTGAGGACAGGGAGAGAGACAACAAACAAATATAGAAAAAAGGTGGAGAAAGTGGTATGAAGACAGACTGTAAACAAGTTCATACATAAATGAGAAAATTTCTAATGGTAATATAGGGGAAGAAAAGTAATTTTCTTTCTATCCTTCTAGGTTCTTTTGGTGAGACGCTCCTTAATAAAAGACTGATTAACAAGAGATAAACAAACACAAGTTAACAACATGTACACCTCTTGTATACATGAGAGAGACCCAGGAAACGAGTGTTCCCTGAAATGGCCCAAGCCACCATGTTAAATGCCATATTTAGCTGAAGACAAAAGAAAGATGTTCTGGGGTGGGGGAGCCAGTGGAGGGATATTATTTTTAAAATCCCAGGGAACAAGGGTAAGGTTGTTACGGAGGTTTAAGTAGGTGTCTTCTCCAGTGTGAAGAGTTTCTTGTGATTTAGTATCACCCCTTTCTTTCTGGTACAGAGAGCGAGACACGATGGATATTTGCCTTGTACGTGGAAATGTCCCTCACACAGGGTAACTTCTGCTCAGTTGTCAGAATGTCTTCTGTGCCTTCTGTTTCTTCGAAGTAATCAGCTCAAAATAATCTTTATGTCAAAGAGGCATGTTTTGGGAGGGCATATTCTGTGCCC